TATAATTGAATATAAAAAAATAGGTTAATAATATTAGTGTTAAGGCTATTTTTCGCAAGACAAAACAGATAAACACGCTGTATACTTATTTTTGTGATACACTGTATGTAAGTATCTCGGATATAGTAATTATGCAAGTATAATTTAATATTATGACTGTAATCCATTCACAATATCGAGTTCGCCCGAACCAGATTGGTTGCCTCAGGTAATGAGCAAATTAAAAAGATTGTCCGACAAAATCTGTAAGATTCTGCTAAAATCGCCTACCTTGAAGAACAATGCCGAAACCTCAAAGAAACGAAGGTAAAATTTTCGAATAAAGTTACAAAAGTATCGCACTCCGTATTAATTATTTTGGTAGACGAAAAAATCTGCAATGCAGCCACAGATACAAGAGTCACTATGATATATTGTATATAAGTACGTATATAAGTAGTTAGAGATTGCATTCATCGTATAAGATACCAATACAAAATTTTCAATCGCAAACGAAAGAAAAAAATATTAAAGAAAAAATCGAAATCGTTTAAAAGAAAAAACGGGACCCTGAAAGTTAATTTTAAAAGCCCTCTGTAAGAAATACGTTTCAAACGAAAACTAGGTTAACTCAAGCTAATCTCGCGCAAGTAGAAGAATTTTATTCACGTAAAACAAATTTATAGATTTTTCTTACAGAATAAGATTCAAAGCAAGCAATTTAATTGCAATCAAGTAACCTCCTCTAACATCATTCGACCGATCCAGTTAAATTCTGACAAGCCATCGCTTTGCATTGCCCAAATCGAAGCACAGGTCAGGACTCTGGGTATAGTAAGAGATTTCGACAAATTTTATCATGTAGTTTCAGTCTTCGACACGCGACATGCGGCAAAAGTGGAAGACATCATTGTTAATCCACCAATATCGGCACCCTTCGCAGCACTTAAAATGACACTTATTATTCGTTTATAACAACGTCTTGATAGTGAGGAAATCGGTGATCGCACGCCATCACAATTCCTACGCCACCTGAAAGCAATGGTTCCAGCAGTCGACGAAGCTGTACTTAAGGCAAAATGATTGTCACTTTACCAAAGGACATTCATGCTATGTTAGCACTACAAGTAAGAGCAAAGTTAGAAGATTTAGGCGCTAGTACAGACAAGTTTCACGAGATCTCATACTGGCAGTCACTGCCATTCCGCCCTTCCGTACTTACCGCCCGTATCGAACCAAAGTTCTCAAAATTTATACCCGTATTTCCAACGCAGAAATCAGTTGTTCTCTTTTGTTTTAATTTCAACAGTGTTGCAATTGTTCTATTTGTATACACGATTTTTCACACAATTAATTTTTTGTTATAATTTTTCATAACGTAAAAGCACAAAACTAAGATCCAACTATTAAAATTAATCTACCTATTTATAAATAAATGTATTGGACTGTGATTTTGCGATAGTTTAAGAATATTTCAAATATTGTATATTCAAGTTTATTTTTTAATTACTACTAACAATCGAGACTGGCAACCCTGCGTTGCAGGAGAACAATCAGCTCACTCGTTTCTACGGGAAAAATCCAATTTGGCGGATATCCGTACGGTCTGTAGAAACGGACAGTAGAAGCTTTGATAAGTATTCATTTACACTGCGCTTTCATAAGATTGGTCGTACCAGCTGATTAGATCTACGGTTTTACGTCGGTGACTACTTCCAGCATTATAAAGCATGCACATTTCAACAATATCGAAAAGCTCCAACAACACTACCGATATAGATATTGTACAGCAAATTTCGGGCCTAACCAAACAGTTAGCAGCATTGTCAGCCATTATTCACAAATGGGAGTTGAGGTCAAACACACGACAGCATAATAGATCGAGGTCACGTAGCCACTCCCTGGGTTCTAACGGATTTTGTTACTACCATGCGAAATTTGATAAAAACGGTATACGATGCAAACAAGGTTACACATTTTCGGGAAATGCATCAGCGAATCGCTTATGACGGGTAGCGGTTCTCAGAAAATTTCTCACCCTCTTTTCATTAGAGATCGAACCTCTGGTACACAATATTTGATAGAAGCAGGTTCGGATGTTTCGGTTTTTCCAAAAGAGTGGTCGAGAATGGAAACACCGACAATTGATCACACGCTACAAGCAGCGAATGGTTCCATCTTCCAAACATACGGAAAAAAGTTATTACCACTTAATATAGGTCGTCACCGCACTTTTTCGAGGCACTTCTTTACCGCTGATGTCACCAAACTAATCATCAGGGCCGACTTTCTTATGCATTTATATTTACAAGTTGACCTCAAGCGAAAATGTCTGCTAGATGGACGCACTGACTTAACAAAACTTGCAATAATTGCCCCAGTAACGTACATGAATTCCATTTGAACAATCAAAGCCGATGCAATATATGACAATTTTCTACGAAAATTTACAAATATAACAAAACCCAGATGGCATAACTAAAGGGAAGAAACATAGTATGTGTAGAGTATACGTACTTCAGATGAACGCCCAGTAACCAACAAAGGACCGTGCATTTAACAAATCTCGGTCCCACCAAAAGACATCTGTAAAACGGCCATTATGAGGCCTTTTGGACTATTTAAATTTCGGATATGACCTTTGGTTTAAGAAACGGTGCTCAAACATTTCAAAGGTTCATTGATAATGTAAAACAGTATCTCCCATTTTTATTTGTGTATATCGATGACATTATGATAGTTTCAGTCGACAAGCAACATCTTGAAATTCTAGCAAAAAAAAGCACTTGCTCAGACAACACTATTAGTTTATCCAGATATAACCAAACAATGGGCTATTTTCACAGACGCTTGCGAATATGGCATTGGTGTTGTCTTACAACAACGTGTCAGCAACACTTGGCAACCTTTAGCATTCTTCAGCAAGCTAAAGCTACCACCGTCAATATAGAAACTGTCCACATAAGATTGTGAGTTACATGCAATATTCGAAGCCGTGAAGTATTTTCGGCACATTTTCGAAGGACGCAACGTAACCATCTTTACAGACATAAGTCACTACAGCACGCTTTTCACCAATGCACAGAACGAGCATTCCCTTGGCAGTTCCGTCGTCTGGATTTCATTGGTCAATTTATTTTATGATATCAGACACATTTCAGGACACTAGAGCATCGTTGCAGATACGCTTTCACGCGTTTACGCGATTTCTGTATCAGTCACTACACAAAATCTTGTAGGAGCACAACAAAAAGACACAGAATTACAGGATTTTTATACGTCCATACGTCCCAGTATTACTCAGGAAACGCATATTCGATTCTCTACACTCTTTGCCATATCCCAGAATCAAGGCATTGCAAAAGCTCGTAAGCAAACGATTCGTGTGACCGTCGACAAATAAAATTGTGATACGTGGGCAAAAGCCTGCATCGAATACCAACGTAACAAACTTCAACGACACGTATCAACGCCTGTTGCAACTTTTCAGGCATCATCACAATGATTCGAGCTCATTCACATCGACTCTAATAGCTTTAATCAATTTTTAACAATAATTAATCGTTTGACGCGCTTTCTGAAAGCAATATCTTTGGAAAACGGTACAGCAGATATAGTAGCTCGAGCAGTAAACCACTGGATAGCTCGATACGGAGTACCAAAACGAATTACATCTGACCAAGGACGACAATTTGAGTCAAAACTATTTAACTCACTCACAAGTATGGCCAGTTATATGACGCCAATTTCCGTGTCGTAATACAATCAAAACTATTTAAATACACTCCAGAAAAAACAATTGAAGACTACATTGTTGACCCTTTCCTGGTATATCCACTATATTAACTATAGCCCTTTGAGTTGAGTTGACCATATATCACAAATATCTCATTTCAGTAAATTATGTTGACTTTAATATAGTAAATATTTCGGTTACGAAGAAAAATAAAGTAATGGAACTAAGTAATAAAACTATCGTGAAACTATGACCTATACTATTGCGATATTTATTATACTCTCGCAAGATGTTGCTACAGAATGTGATAGTTTGGTTTACTTAACGGTTGTTTGTAAGACGTAAAACTAATCAAGATATATATAGAGTTTAATGTACATATATAAACAGTCCTCACTTCTAAAAATTGTCAAAATCGGACCGTAACTTTACAAGGCTCCAGATACGAAGTAATGGGACTCCAGTGCCTATGGATGACATTTTAGCTAAAATATCGGTCATTTCGTGAGATCTAGTACTGAAAATCGGAGAAAGTCTTTTTCTAATAATAATGTGCTTTTGAGACAATACTTCTTCAAACCCTCATATAATACAAAGATTTTCAAACAAAAGATATATCAGTCAATATGTGAGTTATCTTAGTGAAATTCGGAAAGAATAATAATATAACCTTGTGCCTAAATTGGATACAGTCAAGTGAATACTGCCCCTAGCTTCCATATGCCTAATAAAAAGATTTTCAAACATCCGGTTGACTTCATTCCTTATAATATAAGTATATGCAATATTGAGTTATTTTAATGAGTTCTTTTCCAATACAGTGCACATCAGGGTCGAATCCAGGATTTCGGAAAGGAAGAAGCTTTACATAATTACTGTTATTTGGAAGAAAATTTTGTGATGAAAATATGGACTAATACTTTTTTATTTTTACTATTTATTTTACTATTTTTCTTATACATAGGAACATTTTCTTCTCTAGGGATTAATAATACGGGAAAGTAGCTGAATGTAATTATTACCATTTTCGAATATATTCAGATATAGATATATTTCAGGAAATGTAATAAAGAATATTAAAATTTGCGAGATGAAATGTAAAAAGTTTTAATTAATATTATTCATGACATGATTCTTAAAGAACATCTTTTGTTTTCTACAGAAAACGAAAAGTATTTGAGCAAAACAGTTCAAAATAAAATTATTGAAACTTGCCACAAGTTGACACGAGATAAGAACCAAGCAGAAATATCCCTAGTTTTAGCAGATGGATCAAACATAAAGCAATTTTCTATCTGCATATGATATTTAGATTCGGATTCGAATATTTGTGAAGATTTTCTTGGATTCGTTCTAGTTACCGATGTCTCTGGTAAATCTCTGGCAGAGTCAATATCTACAAAATGTCGGCGGTGAAAGATAAAATTTCGAAAATTACTTCACATGCTCTACAAAGAAAACTAAGCCCCTCGAAGCAGTATGAGTCGGGAATTCCAGACTAAGAATCAATATCTAAGAGAAGTCACAAATTTGTTAGATGATGCTCTGAATAAATTTAAGGCGAGGAGGAGAATGCAGATTTATGCTTTCGTATAATTTAAGAAAAAGCCTTGATCATGACATACGATGCAACGTTGGGACTCAAAACATTGAAGATTACTACAGAATCTCATTTTATTTAACATTTCTTGACTCTTATATTTGTCATTTAAAGCTTTAAAGCTTTGAGCAATTATTCTTGAAACATGATTTCAATGAGGAAAAATGACTCTATAATTATAATGAAAAAATCTTCAATTCTTTTGAGTCAGTTTTAATTCTGGAGAAAATTAATCTACGCTTGAAAATCCAAAATGCACATGATGCATTATCGGTAAGTTACTTTCGACCAAAATATTTACACGCTAGGAAATTTTTATCAACAACTTTAACTTATGACTATAAATATAACTTCAGATGATAAATGGGAAAATATTTGAAAATTTAAATAAGATTTTATGAGTTTTGGCAGTATTATCTATAACAAAAGCAACCGCAGAAAGACCGTTTTGGACTTTAAGAAGTAATAAAAGTTATCTTAGGAGCAGGTTGAAACAAGATCATCTCAATAGTCCTTGAATATTCACAAAAGTTTAAAAATTGAATTAAATATGAAATCTTTCAAAAATTTTTTACAAAGCCTCGAAAATTTAAAAAGGATTGAAATTTTAATCAAACCGTCAGTAGTACGTATCGTATTAGATTGACCTCTGAAAAATCTCCGATGTTTCCTAATTATATGTGTATGTTGTAATAAAATATAATTATTGACTTCCGAGGACACCCATTCAACTGAACTGATTCAATTGTTCGTATTTTACTTTAAGAATATGTACTTATTAAATGTAATCCAGAAATATATGAAAATAAATGCTGAATTTTTCTTTCCCTCACCTCCGTGTATCTGTCACTGGAAAATAAAATATTTATGTACAATGTGACTAAAATCCCAAATTTTCAGTTTTATCAGGGGAATGAGCATTTCTCTTTTTTCTTCCCTAAAAATAGTTAAATCTTATCTAGGTATTTTATTAAAAACATATAGGTATATTATATATTAAATATTAAATTATAACAAAATAATGTGTTTAATTATATACACACACATACATACACATCTATTACTCTCTTCTTTTCAAAATAATAACGAACTAAAAAAAAAGTGTAATCATATGGATTATAACATATCTGAGGTCGACATACTTCTGAACAGTAAATGGGAACATTTGAGTATGATTGCGATGATAACCCCAACCAAATGTGCGCCTATTGTAATCAGCATTGCAACATTGGAAATGTGTACTGTACTCTCAAATCTATTTATAGGACATACACATAGTTGACATATGTATTGTATATGTATATAAATAATTCCATAAGAATTTAAAAATTAGAATAAGAAATAGAATAAGAATCAAAAAACATACAGGTATTTTTATATTTTTTGATCGGATACGTCACGCTATTGAATAATGCTTAATAGTGTATATAGGCTAAGCTGTGTGTTTTTGTTGTGATTTATGTTATTTGACAATTCTCCACCACATTTGCGATATAGTGACGTATATTTCGCGAAAGAAAAATTAGTAAGTACAATATCCTATTCCATCATTCATGATTAGCTTATTATTTCAACATAGAATAAAAAAATTAGCCATCGGGATCGGCATTGTTCTACTAAAGACATGCATGCTTATGTTGGTGAAGATATACATACATATGTATGTAGCAAAATATCTAATATAATATATTGTTACTATTAGTGCCAGACTTACAAACTTAATTATATTGGACAGGTTGGACATTTTAAATATAATATTTATTAATACCTAATTATGTTATCCGTTCCTCCCGAAAATGGGCCTACTTACTTTTAATACTATTACAATACCACTATTAACACTGCATTGAAGACATAGCGATTACATATTATATATAAATATTATATACAAAGTATACATTGATTACTGTATATATTTTATTTCCAATCATTAAGTAAAATAATCTCAAAACTACTTTTATAATCTGCAGCACATTCTATTAGGAAGTAGAAGATATCAGTTCAGTGAGACGGCCGCGTTTGCATCGGTCAGTTGTACACGATCGCGTTTGTTAAAAATGTATTGCCATTTGGTGGGATGTTCCCCACCTTCGAGTGTGATCATACCATTAGTCCTTTTGTTATCCTTGTGCAGTGCACAACACTGGCCTTATGATGACTACGATATTCAAGGCGGTGAAGTTGAGACCGAAAACGAAGCGCCAAACAACAACCACTTATACAATAATCCACCTGGCACAGTGATTCAGCAAATTCCTAAATCCGGATTTCAACCTGCCCGCCCAGATGAGTTGGTTGTACCCGGTTTGGGGGCAGTTCGCGGAAAAGTTGGCTACAAGAATATAAGGGGCAGACCAATTAATTCCTATTTGGGTTTAAAATATGGAGTAGTACGTCCTGGTTTGGGTCGTTTTCAAGTAAGCTATAAATAACGATTTATATATTGTATATATCAACATCAACATTGAACAATATGTTCGGAAACTAAAGCGTTTTGTGAAGATATATTGTCAAATAAAGAAGTTTTCCATACAATAACTTGATTTTGATCAATCAGTTTTTCTGACAGCTATATGCTATAGTGATTCGATATCTGCGGTTGCGACGAAATTTGTAGCTTCTTAGGTAGAAAAAGACGTGTGCAAAATTTCAGATCGATATCGCAATAATTATATACCAAATATATATACCAATATATTTATGTATGTAAATGGCTAAATCCAACTTCCTTATATCTAATATCATTACTTTCTACTCTCTGATTGACTTTACGCAGAATTTATGGTTAATATGAAATATTTCAAAGGCATTACGGAATCGTAACCATGGAAATGTTGTCCATATGTTGAAGCTAAGTGAGTCGAAGACCTGTAGAATAAGTTAATGTTGAATTCATATGTAACATTTATTAAAAAGTTTATCTCACATCATAAAAGTATTTCCATGTATTGACAGTATTTCTTAGCCATTAATCCTTGCACGTTGCGAGTATAGTAAATGTTCAGTGACACCCGAACTTAGCCCTTCCTTACTGGTCCTTTATACTTTTGGACTAACTTTTGAGAGCATAGGACCTGAGGGAGGTATTGCTAATCATTCAGTCGAATAAATTTCATTGTGCCTACAATGTTGTTCCCAGGTGTGGGTTTATTTTAGAGGAAGTTATTGCTCATATTTAAAAATGACGGAAACAAATGTACGTATCTGAATCTGCTAGTTATTACATTATGAATCATATCAGTTTTATTTCTTTTGGTGGATAAAGAAAACTTATTATGTTTTTTAGCAAGCCACTGTTTATAAACACCACCATGATGAACAAATTGACGCAACGCTAGTTGCGCCGCGTTGCCCACAGTTTCCTGATTTGAAGACCATAACAGAATCGGAAGCGCGTCTTGAAAATGTTGACAATTGCCTTTCACTAAATATTCATGTACCATCTTATGTAATTCTACCTCAGCAAAGAACTCGCCTTTTACCGGTGATGGTATACGTCCATGGGGAAATGCTATTCGATGGAGGAGCTGAAGAAGCCCAACCAGATTATTTCATGGAAAAAGATGTTGTCTTGATATCGATAAATTACCGTCTTGCACCATTTGGTTTCCTTACAACACTAACAAATGAAATGCCCGGAAATGTAGCTCTTGCCGACATAAAGTTGGCACTCGAATGGATTCAACAATACATACGGGCCTTCGGAGGTGATCCACTGCAGGTGACTCTATTCGGTCAGGCTGGTGGAGCAACTTTAGTACACGCACTAAGTTTGAGTGACAAGGTAAGTATATGACATTTGAGATATAATTACAGTTCGGATGTTCTACGCCAATTTCTTCCTTAGGCACAAGGTCTATTTCAAAGATTAATTTTACAGTCAGGCACTGCCTTGAACCCATTGTTTTTGGAACGAGATGCTTTATCTACAGCCCGCAGTTTTGCACATTTGGCTCATTGTTCACGAACGAGCGACCAAGAAATACAAAATCTTCATAATTGTTTTGAGCGTTTAAGTACCACAGAAATTCTAAAAACCATGAAACGTCATTATGTATGAGTACTGAGATTATCATCGTTTTTAAATCGTTAACAAATACTTATTTTTAATTTAGGAAGAAAACGAACCCCGTGGTTTGCATTTCATGGGAGGCTTTAAACTAAATTTAGGAGATGCTCTGGGATATCTGCCCGTCCATCCTGCGGCATTGGTCTCCAATCGTACATACCCGATGATAATTGGAGTGGCGAAAGATGCTGGATCTTTTATTTTGACTAGTATTTCAATAAGCTTTAAAGGATTACGTGAACACTTTTAAGCTTTTCCTTTTTTTTAAGGTTTTTATGATGAATTATCGCGTTTGCGTTCAAATAACATATCCGATTATATAAATGTTGTGTTGAAGCACACAGCACAGCCGCGCGATTATTTAGTCTGGAAGAACTTGGCATTACGTGAAATTTTTAATGAAGAAGAAATACGTAATCCCACTTTACATGCTTTGATTCCAGGATTATTAGAGGTATTTGTTTTCCTTAGTATTACTTTTACATATTAATTAAACAATGTTCTATTTTTTAGCTTATTAATTTAATTTTATACCGTGGTCCAATAATTGATACGATTAGATCCACTTACAAGAACGCTCCAACATATTTATATTCTTTCGATTACCGAGGTGAATACCATCGTTTTGGTCATTTGAAAAATCCACTCCCATTTGAAACCGACGCTACACTTAGCGATGATAACATTTATCTCTTCCCATACCCGAAAGAAGTGAGCATTTTAAATGAAAAAGACCGCGCTTTATCACGTGATATCGTTACCATGTGGATAGACTTTGCTAAGTATGGTGTTCCTAATAAAGTCAATGGCGTCTGGCCCAATGTCACCAATGGGATAGGACCATTTTTGAGAATTATCAATTTTAAAGTTTCAACGTTGGAATTGGATTATCATTTTGGAGATGGAATTGCAGTACCAAATTTATACCCTGAATACTTTACAATCACAACAGCGACAACCACAACGACCACTACACCAAAGCCCTATTTAAATTACCCCTCTTATACGAATTATTATCCACAATATAAATCCAGTTATAGGCAAAGCTATCAGCAGCCAGACAATTATCATTATAGATCACGTACAACCGTACTAAATGGGGTGGACCATTCGCAACCATCTGGACGTGAAAACTAATATTATCTATAAGTTTTAAATGTAATTGTATGCATTGATAATGTGGACGTATATATAAGAAGAAGAAAAAGCTAAATACGGGTGGAAATATGAGAAACATACAGATTTAGAGATGGTGCAAAAACTTAATAAAAAATGTTTAAAGCAAATTCAGTATTATTTATTGGACGAAATTCTGAACCAATTACTCTCCTATGTTATAACTATGAAACAATTATCATGTGCCGAAGAGGAATACTCAGAATTCGAAACTATCCAAAATTATGGAAAAGTATATTTTCTATATAATGAACGGTAATAAGTATGTTGCTGGAAGCCTTTGTGCTAAAATCTGAATATATCTAAATAACATTGTTTTAAATATTTCTAACTCAATACCAATATTGTTAGGCAGCCAAGTTTGCGAGAGAATCAGTGCATACGATAACGAGAAGAATGCACACTTTCGCAAAATCTCGATCATTTTGCGGTATATTGTATTGCCACTTATGCATTACCGTCTGAATATAATCAAAATACATCAGACATATGCATACTTATATGATAATTACAATTTCAGTTCAATTTTTTGTCAAGTAAATGTATATATTTTAAATACTATACAAGTAAAGGATTTTAAATTATATAACTTTCATCGAATTAATTAATAAAAATCAATTAAGCATGTATTTTAGATGAATGTATGCCCTTCACCAAAGATTTTTTACGATTTAGTTTCCTCCGCCTATTACGTTTCATTTGTTGCCGTCTTTTGACACGATTATTTCGTAGGTAATAAATTTCTCTGATTAAACTGTGACCATTTTCTTCGTCTATTAACGTTGCTGAGAACTCTTTAAAGTAATTTCCGTTAACGGTTAAAGTATCATCTATTTTCATATATGGACCATACAAAGTGGTCATAGGTGGCCAATATCCCGCACGCACATCACTAAAAGGATTTCCGTTAATCACAAATGATGTCCACAAGTCCACCATGCGCTTGGCCATTGTCCTATCAGGCGGACTCAAATTGATAACATGTTGTGGGTATGGAAAAAGGTAGAGTGCCTCATCTGTTAACGACACACCCGCTTTGAATGGACTCTGCATATTTGTCTCCTCATCCAAATCGCGATACCTATTAAATTCACCCATGTAGTCAAAAGAATAAAGAAATGTATTTTCAGGAACATGTTTATTATTCATGTTGAGAGCTAATAGCACTGGTAGTTTATGCATTAAAGTTCCACAAACCTGAAGAATAATAATTGAAAAAATATATTATTTAATTATTATTTTATTTTTATAAATAACAAGTAATTTGGGGCTTACGTCAATTAAACGGGGTATAAGTGTGCCGAATGTACCATTTTCCATTAACTTTCTGTTGAAAAAGTCATGTGTGACAAAGCTAGTCAACAACATCGTTTTATCAGTGCCCACCACTTGGCGAATTATATGATCAATGTAATCATATGTGTTATAATCGTCTGGTATGACACCCTCAAAATCATTTTCCACGATTTCTAAAATTTTTATAAAGTATAAGACGAAGAATACTTGGAATATTTGAATTACTCACCATTCAAAACCCTTGATCCAACATTTTTCGGACAACCACCCATTGCCGCATAAGAAAAATTCGAATTCAATATAAGTTCATAAGGATGCACGGGCAAGACACCACTTGGTCCACCAATTGTGAATTGGATTCCACCAGTGTAACCTACTCCCAAATCAGATTTCTCGAGCTTCGTTCAATAAATATTTATCATATCAAACATACGAACATACGCTTAAGCTTTGCAACAATACTCACAGCATGCGTCATAAATGCACTGAGCAATTCTAGCGGTGACAAATCTATCAAACATTCATTCAAATCCCGCACCGTCTTCATTTTGCATTCGGCCTTTTCAGCAATCTCCTGTGCAAGCTGGCGGGGGTTACCTTCCAGAAATATAGGCATCAGTGCGGACCCGGAGTGATAGATTACCTGGTGAAAGAGTCCTTTTTGTACCTGTAACGGTTTAAGATAAAAATACAGTTATTATTGATTTGCTTCCTTCTTTGTGTGAAAATGGTGCTCACTATTGGAGAAATAGAAAGTAAATGTGCTATAGCAGCACCGCCTACTTGACCCGCTAGCGTCACATGACTCTCATCACCACCAAAATATTGTATAAAGTGTTTGACGAATTGTAATGCCAAATATATGTCAAGTACTCCCGCATTTCCAGGTATTTCATCTGTTTTTGTTGAAAGGAAACCAAATGGGCCCAGTCGATATTGAGGTGTCACTAATACAATATCCTTTTCTAACAAATAATCAGGTGGTGCTTCAGAGTTACTGCCCTCATACAAATACTCTCCATGTATATACACTAAAACTGGAAAGCGACCCATGGTGTTAGGGGTGGTAATTGTTAATGTGAGACAGTCTTCAATGTCCAGTACGTCATCCAGCTTCTTTAAAGATTCCATTGAAACAACCGATGGGCAACCGATTTTCTCTGCTGTTGCATCCATGATGTCATCCCATGGTTCTACAGGGCGTGGAGGCTGACAAGAAATTTTAGAATAAGATAAAGAAAAATTATAAGCTAAAATTAATATACAAAATTCGAGATAGTATAAATAACAAGTATAGTATAAATAACAAACTAGAGGAAGTGCTAAGGGAAAGGGTCCTTTTGTATTGCATAACACTTGCAAAATTCCGTTAACCAAAGGAAATGTTTTACACTTTTCGTGCATTGTTGCACTGGGGCTTACAGAATAGCGTATAACGTAAATAAGACCTTTTATCTTAATTTTATTTGTCCTGTTTCGAGAAATTATTAAATGGTTAATGATAGGTATTACAAAACATAGATATATGCTACGTGGTATATGCACTAATTTAATATTTTACAAACTTAACTTAACTTGTTGTTCGAGAGTTTAAGAAGTAGTACTGAACTATTAGACTTCTTAACGACCGGTATAAAAGTCCTTCGTAGGTGAAAACTTAAATTACTTTTTTACAAATTACATAACTTTTACTCTATCAATTTTATTATTCACATATTATATAAAGTCACACCTTAAATCTATATTTTCCTGTAGGAGCTTCCGCATATTTGAGATCCACAAATTGTAATACTTCTCGCTTCGACCACGCTGTCTCTATAACTTTTCCTTGAATGGTGCCCAATTTGGGTAAATTTATAACAGTATCAACATCGTCATCGAATTCAGCCCAGGCGGAGTGTAATAAAAATAATGTAGTTATAAATAATTCCAAACACCGTGATCGACGTTTGATGTAAAAATAATACAGTTTACCAAACATATTTTAAACTTCGTATTAAAGAAATCCTAAATAAAACACAATTGGGCTCATATACAATAGTATATGCCGCACATAAATTTTTGTTTAATTGATATTCTAATGAACGCAAAAAAACATTTCTTAAAAAGTTTCGATACAGCTGTCAAGATGAAGCTCTTCTTAGATTTTAAAGAATATACCGCGCAGCTCTGAGCCGTTTTTCAGACTGGTTGTTTAATAAACTGAAGACTAGAAAGCGACTATAGCTGATGAAAGAAATTAGAAATTGCTATATGCAAAATAACAACAATGCTAAATTATGCATAGTGACACAAAAATCCGATTTCTCTTTAGCTTAATAAGAACGCAAAAACTAAAACAAAAAAAAAACGGTCATAGTTTATGGGAGTATTTTAAAAATGATTTAAAGCTATTAATTATACTTCTTTACGTACTCTGTATATATAGTGCATATATATATATTTATTTATATAGATGTATGCATGCATATTTAATTTGAAACCTTTTTGACACCCCTTTCTCCTAACAGTAGCTGCTTAAAATCACCAGATTTACAAATCCATATAAAAGGTAAAAGTTAACATAATAATGCACACAAAATATGTGCGAATATAATATGAATATATTATTCAATTTCTTACTTATTAAAATGTGAAAATAGGCAAAATACGGCAATAATCACACAAATAAAACATAATATAATAGAGATACATGTGTGTATTCATAGCCGGTGGTAACAATCTTCCAAAGTTTCAGCTTAACGTATATTCCATACAACGAATATTTATGTAGTACAAAATTTCCCAATTGCAGTTAAGTTATCAATGAATATTTTGGACATGAGTCTGTTACCTAAATTCTAGTTTCACATTGTACAATTTACATACATACATGCTTGAAAGTTTGATGAACATAATTAGAAACGTATAAGGCTAAAGATCATTCGATTTATCATTTTATCATGACTTTGGAACCTGTTAATAAAATAAGCTTAATCATGTGTTAGTAGTCAACATCAAAAGTCCCGTTCGATTCAATTTCCGATACATACATAAATATACATATGCACATGCTTATATTCATGCCAGTACGTTGGCTTCTCTGTGCTGTTCTATGAACGCTTTGAACAAGATTTTGGTGTCAGCACCTAAAATCCATTATTTTCGTTTACGTATTTATGTAGGTTAAACATGTTAAATCAATTAAATATACAAACGATAATATTTGTAAACAGGGAAAGTAAAAACGTGATTTTTTATATCTTTTATGTTCGCGAAGTTAATCAACTTCTAGCGAAACATCTGCTCAAGAAAAGGAATATATGAATACAACGAATTACCCAACAGCGATGCTAATTTTATTTTTAGGTATGAGGCGCTACTCAAAATGGTAATATCTGAAAACTATTAGTAACTACATATGTATGTTGTTAAAGTCAATATTAGGAAAATTTATCAAGAATGTCTTGAAAGAGTAAATCAGGTTTTTCGGTATAGTATTCGATGAACCCGAGTCTTAATAATTTGATATTCCAAACTTTTTGGATGCTTGTAATCTTGTAGATTAATGGCACTTACGTAATATAATTGTTCACCAATAATTGGGAACTGTGGCTTTTTCTGAATCGAAGTTCATAGAAGTTTAATAGCAATACATACTAGCCATTATTATGCTGCTGAGTTGTGAATCCTTTGCCGGATATAAATCCAGGTGCGTCATGGACCACCGTGCCTTCAGACGTTATCTATGTCTTTCAACATTCTTGCAAAATAGACAATTACGTTGTTCATTCTTCACATTTGTGTAAGTCCACCGATGTTACAATGATTTATTTTCTGAAACATATAAGTCTCGCATTATTCAAATAAATTTAATTTAGTTAATTCGTTAAAAAGGGAGCCACAGCATTTACGTCAACATTAGGTAAATACTAATTTTGATAATGATTCAACTCTGGCGATTCCTAGCAGAAATTTTCGTGTATGTTTGGAAGCGCAGTCCTCTATTCATGTATGTAGATATACATATACTACTTCAAGTTTATTAACTTACATTATGATAACCGATAACAATTACATACGAAAATGGTTTTCTGCTAAATTTATTTCAATAATAAATATTCATTTAAATTTAATCATACTTAAGAACTCATACATAATAAATTATATTATATAAACAATTTTATTTTTATCACTTCAATCAGATTTAATTATAGTTAATTAAACCACTCAGGCACCATCATTCACTCTGAATACAAAATTCAAGTTTCTGCCGTTATCCTCATTATCATCGCCGTCATCCTCCTTGAAGCTTTCAGCATCATCAACGTATTTTTCATATTCGGTTATTTCTTCTAAACTGCCGAAGAAGCCGTCGTTAACCAAGTTATATCCCTGCCGAGTCTCCTTTACAGTAATGTTATATTCATCAATGTAGTTTTTACCAACAGTTACAATATGACCAATTTTTAAGTATGGACCAATTTCTTCTATCATAGCAGGCCATGCGGGTGTATTCGGTGCAGTTGGTACGCCATTGGCTGCGAACGACGTCCAAAAGGCCACCATACGTTTAGCAACTTTAATGTCACGATTTAGATTTAAAGAATTATGCCTTGGCCAGGGGAAAAGATACAAATTGTCGTCAGTTAGGGAGACACCAAGCTCAAAAGGCGCTGAACCGTCCACATCTTCGCTCACAGAATAACGGTTTAGTTCCCCTTCATAATCCAATGTATAAAGATAAGTACTATTTGGAAGTTTCTTTGCATTCGCTTGTAAGGTCAATAGGACAGGATTTTTAAATGCTATAGTGCTGCACATCTGTAAATATTAAATAATATGTTTCAAAGCTATAATAATGTAACTAGAGAAGTAAATATCGATTCTTACATCAATCAGCCCTGGGACGAGTTTGTAGAAGGATCCATTCTTAATCTCTTCATCTGTGAAAACTACTTCTCTTGCAAATTTTCTCCACACACCTGTAGGATCGACGCCATTAGTTTGGGCTATTATGTGATCAATATACCCCATGCCATCCAGTTTATCATCAATAATAGTCTCATTGAAGTTATCAATATAAATATCTACAACAAAAACAGTTATCTTAGATTATTTTCATTAAATAAACTTCTATTCAACCTTTAAGCAGAAATGTTCCCCCATTTTTAACGCTACCACCGAGTGTGGGATATGCTTTAAAATCTCCAGATGCTAATAATTGTCCTGGATGTTTTGGTAGGATTCCAGATGGACCGCCGATAACAAATTGAACGCCTCCATAATTGCCAACCCCCAAATGTGCATTGGTATCGCCATGTGCACTAAATGCAGTCAATAGAGTGGTAGTATTCATTTTTCGCAAACACTTATTAAGCGACTCTAGTTTTCTAATATTTTTACAGCCTGCGTATTTCGCTATATCTTTAGTTGCAGGTAGTGGATTATCTGTAATGAAAGCGGGTGATAACGCCGTACCAGATTGATAAATAACGCGATGAAATAGACCATCGGGAACCTAAAACATTTTTTGAGTTTTTAGAACTTTTATACCAATAATTATTCGGTTGCGATACTCTTACTGCTGGACTCATAGCTAATACATTAATCAAGGCTGATCCACCGACTTGACCAAACAGGGTAATCCGAGTAGGATCACCTCCAAAATCTGCAATATGTTGCTGAATCCATTTTAGTGCCAAAATAACGTCTTGCACTGCGGCATTTCCAGGTATTTCATCGGTCATCGTTGACAAGAAACCAAATGGACCCAAGCGATAACGTACGGAGACTAACACAATATCTTCATCTAATAAATATCCAGGAGTTGCCTCTGTGTTACTACCTTCATAAAGAAAGTCGCCATGAATGTAAACCATGACGGGTGCATTCCCACTGAACTGTAAAGGAAATAATTGAAATCAATCCATACTAATACCTATCTTTATATACTAGACTAATCAAAAATAGATTCAAAGCTGAACACGTATAACCAATATGTACAGGTTGGTTGAAAAGTTGGTTGGTCTCACCAAGAAACAACTACCAGCTCCAAATTTTTTTTTTCTTGAAGACTTGAAGACGATTCACGCGAAGGATGACCAAAAAGTGTTAGTTAGTGAAGATCCAAGTTTGACTAAGCATGAAATTGATAATGCCATAGGTATCTCAGACGAACGAGTACTTCATATTTTACATGGAGAATTACATATGAAAAAACTATTTGGAAAGTTAGTGCCGCACACGTTAACAAATCAACAAAAACTGGATCGAAAACAAATTTCTCAGCATAATTTGGAGCGTTTTAAACAGAATAAAACCGATTTCTTCCGTCGTTTTATAACTATGGATCTTGGATCTACCACCATGATCTTAAATTGAAACAAGAACATTTACAGTGGACTGAAGTTGGTTGTGCATCTCCAAAGCAAGTAAAGTCACAACAATCAGCAAAGAAGGTTATGGCATCCGTTTTGTGGGATCCAAACGGAATTTTGCTATCTGCAGAAAGGTGAGACAATCAGCTCTGAATATAATTGCAGCCTTTTGAATCAGCTGGATGAAAAAATTCGTGAGACCACGAAGACCTGGTTTGCAGCACAAACAAATCATTTTTCATCAAGACAATACACCAGGGCACAAGATGTTTTGACAATGACAAAATTTAACGAATTAAAGTAAGAACCTCTTTTTATTATACTCTCGCAACCTGTTGCTACAGAGTATAATAGTTTTGTTCACCAAACGGTTGTTTGTATCACCTAAAACTAATCGAGTTAGATATAGGGTTATGTATATATAAATGATTAGGATGAAGAGACGAGTTGAAATCCGGGTGACTGTCTGTCCGTCCGTCCGTCCGTCTGTCCGTCCGTGCAAGCTCTAACTTGAGTAAAAATTGAGATATCTTTATGAAATTTGATAGACATGTTCCTTGGTACCGTGAGACGGTTGGTATTGCAGATGGGCGTAATCGGACCACTGCCACGCCCACAAAACGCCATTAATCAAAAACAAATAACTTGCCATAACTAAGCTCCGCAATA